GCGGTGCTACAGAACCGCAAGCGGTCGGGAACGCGGGCCGACCCGCCGCAGTGGGTTAGAGAGGCAACTGCTCACCGCAGCGCCGGGCACAGAGACCTACGCTCAGAGCTCAGTGGGCGGAGCCTTGCGGAGCCGCGCGCAGGGCCTGCTGGGAAATGTAGTGTGCAGCCCCGTCCACGCCGTCCTGCTGCTCGCTGGGCGTCGCAGGCGACTACAAGTCCCATCAGGCCCCGCGGGGCCTTGCTGGTCGTATCTTGCTGGCGGCCGAGCTGAGGGCGGTGTGTGGGTGAGTCCGGGTCGAGGGGCTCTCGCACTTTGGGGCCACCAGGGGTGCAGTCTTGCTCCTGATGTTCTTTGGGATTCGGCCCTGGGGGCCTGGGGTAGGAGGATCGCGCTTTCGAAGCTTTCAACCGGCTGGCGCCTTCCTGGAACACCGGGAGGAGTCCCAGGACCCCATGCACAATTTCTGCGAGTTGGAGTGAAGGAACAGGACAGCTTCATCAAAGGATAGTTTTTCTATTTGCTAATTTTACAAGTGCGTGTTAATAAAGAAAAGCAATGGAATCTGGCAGACAGGAACTTAACCAACGTAAAACATCACCAGTAATACGACATGTTAACATCGTGAACCTCTTGATTTGATGTTCCGAGAAGGACATCATTCTGGTGGTGCTCTTGCCAAATATGCAAAGTTTATTCCAATCATGAGGATACAGGAACCAAACCCAAATTGAAGGACATTGTCTAAAATAACTGATTAGAGATCCCTGAACGTGTCAAGATTGTGAAGAGGAGACGACGAGGGACTATTAACAGACTTAAGTGGACTCTAAGGAAATATAACTGATGCCATGTAGGGTACTGGGTAGGAATCTGAAACAGAAAGATAAAAGGTATTCAGTTAAAAATTGTGTGAAATTTTAAAAAACATCTGTAGCTAAGTGTAAGTGTATACAAGTATAACACTTGTATAAGTGTTAATTTCCTGTTCTGGATCGCTTTTCTATGATCATGTAAGGTGTTAACTGAGGGAAAGCTGAATAAGAGGTATGAAGTAACTCTTTGTACTATTTTTGCCACTTTGTCCCAAATTAATTCAAAATAAAAAGTTAAATATTAAAGAAGCCCAATAAAGAATGCTGAACTTTGATTTTTCTTATATTTACAACAAGGTTAGAAAGAAGTTCTTGGAACATTAGGAAGAAACCATTATGATAGATTATGTGTGCAGACAAGAAACATTTGCTTATGAGATGGTAAGATTCTCATCTTTTTCACCCTTTTCTTATGAAACAGTACACTGTCATTGGCATCTGTGTTAGTGTAGACCAGGTGTCCTCAAACTACGCCCAGCAGGCCACATGCGGGTGTTTTTCCCCGTTTGTTTTTTTTTACTTCAAAATAAGATATGTGCAGTGTGCATAGGAATTTGTTCATAGTTTTTTTTAAACTATAGTCCAGCCCTCCAACAGTCTGAGGGACAGTGAACTGGGCCCCTGTTTAAAAAGTTTGAGGACCCCTGGGTAGACTATGCGGTAGTTTGATGTTGGATATGCTTAGTTGGAAACAAGCTAGAGAAACTCCACTGGGACTGGGAACTAGTGAGGAAAAGGGACACACGGAACTAAAGTGACTGCATATTTGCTTCTTTCCTATCTCTGCCTTTATTTTTGCTCTGAGTTTGGTGTTGCTCTCGGTATTAGGCTAAATTTATGCCTTATCATCACCCTATTTCTGGTCTTTTTGTTCCGCTCCTGATTTTGGTTTAACCACATTCTTAATCCTAATCCATTATCTCTTGTGTAAAACCCTAAGAAAAATTTAAGATGATGAGTATTGAGGAGTTAGGAGCTAGTAGATATGATGGGTTCATAACTTTCTATGTGCCAGACACTGTACCGGGCACTGAATAATGCATAATGGCATCTGTCATCTCTCCCACTGATTTTATTTTTATTGTGGTAAAATTTATGTAGCATAAAATTTACCATTTTAACTATTTTTAAGTGTTTAAGTGGCATTAAGTACATTCACAATGCTGTATAACCATCACTTCTATTTCCAAAACTAAATAATCTTCCCAAACAGAAATTCTGTACCCATTAAGCAATAACTCACCAGTATCCCCTCCTGCAGTCTCTGGTAACCTCTATTCTACTTTGTGTCTGTATGAAGTTACCTATTCTAGATACCTCATATAAGTGGAATCATACAATATTTGTCCTTTTGTGTATGGCTTCTTTTACTTAGCATAATATTTTATAGGTTCATCCATGTTATAACATTAGAACTTCATGCCTTTTTATGGCTCAGTAGTAGTCTATCGTGTGGATATAGCATAGCATATTTTGTTTATTCATTCATCTGTTGATGGACATTTGGTAGTTTCCACCTTTTGGCTATTATGAATAATGCTGCTGTTAAAATTGGTGTGCGAGTATCTTAGAAATTTTCTAAGCAGTGGCTAAATGACCCATAGTCCTATTTTAAATATTTAAACATCTACTGTTATACCGTTTCTGCCTCTTCTGTCTGCTGAATAACCTCTGATAATTGAGCACTTACCATGTGCCAAATATATGCTCTGTTTGGAATGAGTTATCACCATTTTACAGGTAAGAAAAAGAATGATTTCAGAGCGCTGTCGTTGAGTTGCCCAAGTTCAGTAAGCAGTGATGGGGTCTGTATTTAGATTTATGTCATTTCACCTTCAAAGCCCACATTCTTTCTTCATTTCTATATTGCTGGCATTAAACTTGACTTTAGATGTCTTTCTCTACCATTTTGTTTACATGGCGAATAGGCACTGAGTGAAAACTTCAGTGATGCCATGATTAAAATATGCAAGACAGCAAGCTTCTAGTATCTTTGTTCAGAGATCTGTTTTGTTTGCTTACTTGGTCTCAGGTATAGTTTGGAAAGGTGAACATATAAATGAGATTTTGCTGCTACTAACAATTTTGTGGCCCTGGAAATATTCATTGATTGGCATTTGTATTTTATGTTGTTTAAGAAAAAACTAGTTTTGTTTTGGAAAATTTCAAACAAGAGACTAGTATAGTGAACCTGTAATGTACCTGTTGCCTACCTTCAACATTTCTCAGCATTTGGCTCAAATTATTTCTGTAGGCCATAAATAGCTTTTGATCCTCACCACAATCCTGTCAGATATTATGGCAAAGATTATCCTCACCTTACAGGTGAGGGCACTAAGGGCTGCGGAGAGATACATGCCCAGAGTCACAAAGCTATTATCGTCAGCACTAGGTTAAGGAAAAAACTCAGGTCTTCTGACCCTCTTCCAGGGGCCTGTTTCTAAGCTTACGGTGGAGGTCAGTTCTAACAGTGGTTCTCAACTCTGCTTGCATTATTTTTCCTAGCGAGCTGATGTCTGGGCCACATCCTCAAGGATTCTCATTTAATGAGCCTCAGGTGAGACTTGGTCTATTCTATTTTGCAGTCAGGATTAAGAGCCACCCCTTTGATAGAAACTCAGGAAGAATGAAAGTTAAGATTTAGACCAATTGTGCTACTACTGTGATACTTGGGACAGAATTGCTTGCGTAAACATAGAAATTCTGTCTCTTCTGTCCGCCTGAGAGTTATTGAAAATATAAGTAGAGAATTGTTTTTAGGGAGCTCATTGAAAATATTAAAAAATGCCAGAAAAATATAACTCAATGATTGTTGTTATCACAGGGGAAACTTCAAAGACAAAATTTTGTTTAGTTTTTAGTTCTAGTATCCAAAATAGCTATCACTGCTGTCAATGGGCATATAATAAAATAACACTGAAGTTTATTTGATTTCTGATTGGTTTGCTTTTGTGAGTTGTAGGACAATATACAAATTTAAATCAAAGCTAGTGACTAAAACAGCAATAGGATAAAATTGAAAGTTGCAGCAGGGAACGTGTCTTTATACCTTCATTCCTGGTAACTAATATAGTACTACTTGTCACATAGTAGGTTCCCATCAAATTTTAAACAGACTTAATATGATGCTGAGCATATTCTATGAAGTTTCATAAAGCTATTGGAAGATGTTAGTGTAATTTTATGACATATAAATTTTGAATTAATACTTTTTATAATTGTTAATTATAGGCTTTCTCTCAATAACACCTATTTTTTTGTAGGACTTATAAATCAGCCTTCTTTTATTTTGAAGGAACATTTTCAGTGATAAAAGATACCTCAAATACAGAGATTTGAGTAGGTACAGTTTCCAAAAATCTCAAAGTGATGATATTTCCAGAAATCCCAATATTGGTCTTTTAAGGGTCTTTGCAGTGAATTGTTTACAGATCTTGTACTGAGCATTACATATATCTAAGAAAAATTAAGCTGAGCACAGTGGTGCATTCCTATAATCCCAGCTACTGAGGAGGCTGAGGCAGAGGGATCTTTTGAGGCCAAGAGTTTGAGGCTTTATATGCTATGATTGTGACTGTGACTAGCCACTGCACTCCAGTCTGGGTGATACCGTGTCTCTGAAAAAAGAAACAAAATAAAATGTGGCAGTTCTCAAACTTGTTGATCTCAGCTCTCCTTTATAGTGTAAATAATTGAGGGCCCCAAAGAACTATTGCATATGTGGGTTATAGCTATCAATATTTGTCATATTAGAAATTGAAACTAAGGAATATTTGAAATATTGATTTAAATAATCTCATTACATATTAATCATTTTTGTGAAAAATACATTTTCCAAAACAAAAGTGAGAAATTGTTACACATTTTGCATTCAAACTGAAGTGATAAACATCATTTTGCTTACAGAAAACCAGTCGCTTATGAGAGGATAAGAATTGAGCAAGGCAGGTAACAGCTTAGTATTACCGTGAAGGTAATTTTGACCCCAGGGAGCACACTTTGAGAATTGTCACTCTAATAGATAGCTAAAAATCCAGTGTCCTCTTATCCCAATATTTATCAGACACTATGGTCTTCATCTCAAGATGGCAACTGTCCAGTTAGTTGGGTGAGCCAGGTTGTATGAATCACAAACCCTTTTCTGTAGTTTTTAAGTTCTTGTGGGGCAATGTTATATCCTGTCCCTTTTTCCCTCACAGGACTTTCTTTGAGCGTCAGAGTCCCAAGACAGAGGCCTCGGAAAGTTTCAGACTGCTAGAATGGAAGATTTCACCTTCAGTGACGTGCATATTAAACTAGGCTTTCCTTACACTGGCACCAGGGAGACTGTGAGCATGTTGTCGTTATTACTGACATAAGGTAGGTGGCAGCACTCAGCACGTTTTTTACTCTTTTCCTTCTCTTCATTTCACCATATGAAAGCACAGTATTTAAGAAAAAAAGGAGTAAAAGTAATCACCATTGCAACTTGGCTTGGGAACAGCAAAAATAAGTGTCTGCTTTCCATGCTATTAGCAACTGTGTATCCATTTGCATCTTCTATTGTTGATTTTTTGGAACATCTTTAAGAAATACTTTACTATTTATTAGAGGGTTAAAATCTGTAAATACTTTAAAAACTATCTCCATTTCTATATTAAACAGCTGTTTTTCAGAGACTAATCATCCGTTGTGTATATAATATTGATTCTGTGCTTTGCACATTTACAACTTTATTTCTAGGTTTCTTGTCTTTTTGCCAAAATTTGAAGGAGGTAACAACTACAGAAAGAGAAGAGTAATTCTAGTGTTTGACAAATGTGAAGTTGTAATACTTTGATAAAGATTTAAATTGGGAAAGAGCTAAAATAGTCTAAAATGAGATTTGGGGATTAGTTATTAATTTTGTATAGCTGATATCTCTATGCCATAAATAAAGCTATTCATTTCCTCCTTATGTAGGAAATCTCAATTTAAGAAGTACCAAATATGTAAGAAAAAATCTTGCTGTGTTGCTGGTTTGATTCCTTCTGCGACCACTTTTTTTGTGGAACAATGACATACCAGTAAATAGATTGTGATGCTTTCAGAAGGTCCCTGCTTCTATTTCTTTTTGGTCTTAGTGGCCAGTCTCCAAAATTTTATATCCCACACACTGCTTCTCAGAGAGCTACCAGAGGAAGTAGAAGCACTTTACACAAAGAGTAAACCATGAACATGGGACACCACACAGAATAAAGAGAATCTAAGGATAATGGGAAAGAGAAATCCTAGTATGAGAGCTATCTACAGACCTAGAGAACAATTTAGTGCAGAGACTGGAGCCAGGAGCACAGAATTCAAGAAGGATGTCTGGGAAGAAAACCAGAACTGGTAGACTTCCAGTTGGTGTTTAACTCAAATGGATAGTAAATTCATCCTTCTGTCAGAAAATAGGGAAGTGAGTTAGTGATAGGTACATTGAAAATTTGGCAAATGCAAACAAGAGAGAATTAGTAGCTAGAAAACAAAATGTACAGTAAGAGGAAAGGGTAGTCAATTGTGTAGCTTATGCAGAAGTAGTATCAACTCACCATAATTTAAACATTAAATATCTATTTAAGCAAAATTCTAGTAGCCCTATAAAGGGAAGTTGAAGAGCAAAATCATAAAAAGTTATATATGGAAAAGAGTTGCCCCAGGGAAGAATGGTGAGGCAAGAGCAAAGAAAGCTCATAAACCTTGGATTTATGTGAGTTTAAAAATTATATATAGTATGTTTATGGTTTTGATAATGTTATTAAAATTTTGGCTGGTCCAAAGGCAGTGAGTTATCTCAACTGATTGTTCATAATCATAGTCAGTTCCAGATTGAACTCCTTGTTCTACTCTTTCCCCCTTTCTCACTGCTGTACTTGACTAGTCTAAAAAAAAAAGTCTTAAAAACTTCAAAAAAGTTTATATAAGCCAGCTTTTCTAGTCAAATGAGGGGAAATGTGGCTGCCTCACAACAGACATCAGGTGGAAGACAACCCACTATTCTCTGTGATGGTCTTACTTTCCTTTTATTTCTTGTAGTGTAGGGGCAGGTTGCTGTCAACAGTGTCATTCAAGGCTGAAGGATAAGAACATGGTCTTTAAACTCAAGGCAATTTCTTGATGAAGTGGTCAACAAAAGAAACAATGATCTGTTTCAATGCTAAAGAGAAAAAGCAATTGGCAATTATTAAGAGTTTGTTGGACACGGTGAGTGTTGTGGGGGGGAAGGGCGCACCTCAAATCATCGTTTAGGTGTGGCAAAGTCATAACCAAAATGTAACCAAAATGTTTGTACCCCCGTAATATCCTGAAATAAAAAAAATAGTTTATAATGTGGGACTTTGCTCAGAAATTTTCAAAGGTCATGTAAACGATAAGTCATTTTCATGTCATAGGTGGATTTAATCATTCAGCGCCATTCCACAGTATCAGCTATCCAAAATTCAATCATTTTCTGATGGTGAATTTTAATATTTGCTATCCTTTCTTACTAAAAAAAAAAAAATAGAATTTTAGAATTGTCAGGGACCTTTAGAATGATCTTGTGCCATCCTTTCATTTTTCAGAAGAATCTGAGGTCAGATGTTTAGGGGGTTTATCCAAACCCATGCATCTAATTAGTGACAGAATAGAGATTGGCTTTCATTTACAATTCTTAAAACTTAAAAGTTTTATAATTCTGACACCTAAACTAAGGAGCCAAATTTATATTTTCATGAAAGGGATAGTAAAAGACTAGAGCCACATTGTAATAACCAGTTAGTCTGGGTGAAATATCACCAAGTAGCCCTGCCCAAACTATGTTCCATAAAAGGTACTAAGCATTAAGTAAACCAAGGGTTCTCTGAGGGAATACATTGAAGAAATGGTGTGTACTCTAGCTCCCTCTTAGAGTGTCACAGTGCACATTACCATAAAGGGATGGGGGAAGTCTCATAGGAAAGAAACTTGTTTTTAAAATGCTCTTTTCAAGAAAGCGTTTTGTGGAACATAATTTTTGTCAAATCTGATATAACAAGCAGTTTACCTAAATTTTTTTTGTAAGCACAAACTGAAAACATCTACTATGTTCCTAAATGTTAAGGTACAGATATATTCCTTTACAGATCATAGATTTGCACTTTAATTTTAATCTTCATTTATGTTCTTATGAATGAAGAGCTTATGCGTACTGATGACTGCTTGGATAGGGCACTTTATATCAAGAAGCACTGGCTGTGGACCAGAAAATGCTCCGTTTGTAAAATGTACACAGCTAGGTGAGTGATATCTTTTTCTTCAAGAATTGTTGGTTTTTAATAGTTAAGTAGTTTTGATATTTCAGTTTTTTGCTCTAAGTTCTATTGTACTTGGACCTGTAAATAACATGAGGGTTTTTATCAAGTAAGAGAAGGGCCACAGGATGAGTTTTAATATGTTAAAACTAGCGTTTTTAAACAGTAAGGCATGTATTATGATACATACAGATAAGCCAAGGGGAAGGTCGAACTTCAGGGCTGATGCAATGTTCAGGGAGCCATGTTCTTTCTTCTCTGTAGTTTACCAAATCAACTTCATTCCACAGCTTCTCAATGAAAAAAATATCATAGCACATCACATGCGAGGTCAAAATAAAGTTGTATAAAATTTTTGCATCATGTGATTCTACGTGTTTATATTATAAAGTGTTTCTTACTGTGGGTCACAGTCAAAAAAGCTGGGAAACCACTCAGAGGAAAGGGAAGAATTTGGGACAGGTTGAGCATCCTGAATCTGAAAATCAGAAATCTAAAACCTAAAACTTTTTGAGCCCCAGCATGATGCTCAAAGAAAATGTTCATTGGATCATTTTGGATTTCAGATGTTCAATGATCAATTGATAGGTATATACATAAGACAGATATTCCAAAATCTGAAATTTGAAACTCTTCTGGTCCCAAGCATTTCAGATAAGGCCTTTAATTCCAGATAAGAGATATTCAACCTATATCTTCAGTTTTCTTTAGCTGAATATACTTTTCTAACGGATCAATAGGAAAACATGATAAATCAGAGTTATCAGATCAAAACGAAAATAAGAGAATGTTAAAAGTACGCAGTCCATGAGTGCACAATTCAAACACACTGGAAAACAGCATTTTCATCTCAGACCAAACGCAATCGCAGTTGAATAATGTTGCCCATATTCCCACTTATATACACTCTGCATATTACAATATTTTATCCTGAATTCTAAATAATAAAACAGTTGGAGTTTTCAAATTAACCAGAACTCATTTACCAAGTTAAAAAGATAAATTAAGCAAAAGAGGTCAGATCCGTAGTATCTAATTATATTATATTATGGTTTTTCAAGATGGTCTGTTAGAAGAAAATGACTGTTTATATGTAAGTTACCTGGAGGACAGATATCTCATGGCAAATGTATGATGCCTTCAAGTACAGATTTATGTTCTTCCTTACTCACCTTTAAGGGGAAGCCTTACAGAGAAACAGCATTCTGCAATGTTTCTTAGGTTAGTTGCCCTTTTGTCTTTTAGAGTATTGGTAGTGATTTGTCTGTATCTCCATATATACAAAATTATATAAAGGCTTATGCTTTAAAATTATAGACTGACAAGGCAATACTGAGAATGTTATGTTTACATAATACTACATACAGGTTATAATTTACAGCAAATTAAAGCCTGAAAAACTTAATGATGTACAACTTTTTTAAAAACTACAGATGGGTGACCAACAGTGACAGTTTTGTACCAGAGGACCCATGTTTCTTTTGTGATGTTTGCTTCTGAATGCTCCACTGTGATTCAGAAGGCAAGAAACTGGGGGAATTCTTTGTTTATCGTTATGTTGATCCTGCAACCTTTAATTAAGAATAGCCACACACACACACACACACACACACACACACACACACACACACACACAAGTGCAGCCTTCTGAAACAACTGCTCTCTTGGATGGTTACTTTATATCTAAGAAATGCCACTGAGGACCATGATCCACTTGGAACAATTAGCCAAAGCTACCAAAAAGAAAGTCCAAATCAGAGATTTTCCTAGAAAGTAACTTGATTATATTTGTTTGGAAATATATTTAATTTAGTACTTATCCCAAAGGATGTTTTTCATTTAGTGCCCATTTCATTTTTACCCATTGTAAGTTGTTTATCTTATTGAGTTATAGAAGTGCTAAATATGAATCTTCGTCAGATACACATATTCTGATTCTTTCTGCTAATCCATGCCTTGCCTATTCATTCTCTGTCCAGAGTGTTTTTTACTAATGATAGCATTCAGTTAATGATACATCAAGTGGTAGAAGTGTTTTGGAAATCTTTGAAGAATGTGAGAACTACACCATCTATCATGAGGCTTCTAAGGTAAAGATCCTTCAACTGTCATAAAAATTAGGGAAAAAAGTAAGAGTGAATTATTTAATAAATAACACAACATTAAGAAAAGCTATTGTGTAATTTAATTTTATAGTGGGCTCTTTTGTAACATAATGTTAGGTTTAGTTTTGTTAGGAACTAGGCACATAAGACATTTTAGTGAGACTAAAATGATAATGAAAGTAAAAAGATCTTGAGTGTATATGCATACCTTCACTGAAGTAACATTTAAATTGAAGCTTCAATTCTTACAGAAACTTTCTATGAATCATAAGTGCTGTGAGTTTAAAATATGTCAGTTTAGTATTAAGATTTTAAAAATAGGTTTTATATGACTGTGGAGAGATGGAATAATCAAGATCCTACTGACTGTAGCTATCTATATTGAAATATGTTCTGCAAACTTTTTTGGGTGGAAAATGTAATTCCATTTAAGATTTTTAAAAGTGCTATAAAATAGATTTTAAATGCTTGAAAAAAATTTAAGTTATACTTTCTCTTTCCTAGGTTATATTTAAATTCACCTAAGTTTCACATCTAGATGGCTAAGAACAGACATCATTTACCATGTAAATAAGCAACAATGAATCCTGTAGGACTATGCATTTAAAAGATTCACAGTGAAGTTATGTCTTATGGACTTGAAATGCTACATGTCAGTTTAGTCGATTGGTTTGGAGATGACAAGCACCCATTCCTGGTATGTCTACCATGGTTCTCATTCTGTTAGTACACGGAGGATCACTATAGAGAATTAAGAGACTACTCCATGGCTGACTTATAACATTCCTATGTTTTTATTTTCCTGTATTGAAGAGTGCTAAAATTGAGCAGATCGAAAATTCCACTGGAAAACCACAGACTTAAGATAAATAAGTGATATATCCAATTTCTATAATTCCACAGGTAAAATGTATTTTTGATTCCTTTTTCTTTTTTTCCCAGAGAAGGGGTCTTGCTATGTTGTCCAGGCTGGCCTTGAACTTGTGGCCTCAAGCAATCTTCCCATCTTGGCTTCCCAAAAGTGCTAGATTACAGTTGTGAGCCACTGCACCTGGCCCGATGCTTTTATTATTTATACTGCATTCCTTTTAGGTCATGCATGAATATGCAATACTCAATTCATACTCTCAAAACAACAAACCTAGTAGAAAGTTAATTATTGTCATAATGCATTATTCCATGTGTACTGTCAATGCATTCATTTTAGTAGACAGAGAAGAAAGGTATCAGTTAAAACATTGTTTTATTATTTATGGAAAATGTTAGTTCTTAAGGTTAATATTGTTACCAAAGACTCAGATACCTATTATGGTTTCCTGGTGAAACTGAGAAGACAGATTAACCAGATTACTGCCACAGTTTGTCAGTGTGTTGTGTATTAGTCATACCCACCAAGTTCCAGTCAAAAGAAATTCTTAACTTTGTATATTTTGGAGCTACAAAATCTTGGATCCAAGACAACTTCCATTTATATTTCATCCTATTAAATACAACAAGCTTATTTATAGCAAATATGAAAATGATGTCATGAACTTATCAATATTCTTTGTAGTTAGAAATGAATTCCATTTTGATATAATATTGTATACACCTACACAAAAATCACTATATGTAGAAAAGCAATAGCTATTTCTTTAAACATCTTTGTCAATAAGAATCATTAAACATTTGGATTTTCCCGGGAGAAAGGTTGGTCATCTCTAACATTCTCTGTGTGTTGCCGAATTACACAACACAAATATAAACACATTTGCGTCTGTTTCAGCTTTCTTTGTTTCTTAATTCTTTAAGGATATGGGTTTGCTGTTTCCGACAGATGGTCCTTTCTCTGGCCAATGGGACAAAAATGAGTTGTTAGCGAAGCCCGCACAGAGCCCTTTAAAAGCCTTTGCTCTTGTACAGGATTAGATGGCAGGTCTCATCTTGACCTGACATCCAGGTAAGTGTGTGGGGGATGGGAACATACACTGACATTACTGCACCAGCACAACAAGGTAAATCTGTCAGTATACTATTTGAAATCACTGGATATAATAGCAGTTAAAGCGCTTAAGGACTCTATATAATGTTCACACACACAAAGTCCTAATCAGGTTCTCTGTTTCAGAGGGTGTATCTGAAATTTCTCCAAGCACCTGAGAAATCTTCAATAATCTATTCTGCTGATCATGTATAACTTACTCTTTAAAATGCTATCCAATGATGATAAAGAAAAAAAAAAAAACTCCAGCACAGAAGAGGTGTTGTTTATACATACTTTTTTTTGGCTAGTTGTTTCATTGAAATTATCACTTAGTGGCTTGTTCAGCTGTGGCATTTTAACCAGCTAACAGTTTAAGCTGAGCCAATGCTCTCAATAGTTCTTGATAACCATTCATAAGACTTTTTCTTAAAGAGTTCTGAGAGTGTTAGTTATGTGTGAATCAGCTTAGGACAAATAGAGAAAATCTCTCGAGAAGACAACTGTGCTTTAAGTAACATGCCAAAGCAGACATAAATTATTAGAATGCTGCTGTATCTCTAGAAGTTGAATATTCTGTGGCTTCTTGGTAAAACTAGATCTGTTGGGTCGCAGGAAGAAAAGTGAGGTTGAAGAAAAGATAAATACCATTTTCTTTATTTTTGCCATCTTGAGCTTATTGTTTAGTTACCCTGTCTCCCCACACAACACAATCTCTATGACCAGCTAAGAAATTATTTCCTTGACAGCAAATTCCATCACTTACTCTTATAAATAGCAAAGAAGTAATTTACTAAGAGAGTTTGACAGAAAAATTCTTTAATCAAAACAAGTTTACACGTTGATATTACAGCTTAACTAGAATAAATCTGTCCAGGTTAAAACTGTAGTTAAGAACCAAACAGATAATGACTGGTCTATTTGGGGGTTCTCTCAAAACAGTGGGTCCTAGTTCCATTGTGAGACCTCTCAAAAGCAAAAACCCAGTTACTGAAATAATTCAAATTTTTAATCTGTAGATGAAAACAGTTATCCTAGAGGTCAAACCATACAATTTTTGACACAAACTGTTATGTTATTTTACCATATTAATATAGTTTGAACACATGAGAAGTATCATTTTCTATCAAAAACCACCAAATGGCCCAATATTCAAAATGTCTTAGAAATACTATCCTTTAGTAAATATACCCTTAAAGTTTTTTTTAACATTGTTTTCACCCTGATACAGTCTCTGCACATCAACATACAGACTGTCTGAAAGCACCACGTGGGAACAGCCAATGTATGATACTGACGTGAAAATAAAGATTCCCCTCTAATACAGCCACATTTTCAAATAGGTTAGTGTCCAAATATAGCATTTACTTATATTTACTGCATAAGCATCACAGATTGACTTTTTTCCAATTAAAGAAACACTTCCTTAATGAGTAGTAAGAAAATTTAGAAATGAGACATTTCTCAAAAATAAGCTTATTTAGTTTTCAGTTTTAGTTAACTAGTGCCTATAAAGGATCTTAGATGATTGGATTCTGAAGCCGGATTCATTCCTATGCATCCCCAGTCTGTTCTCTGCAGGGGAATTGTATGACTTCACTTAATTCCTAGCCACAAAACTAACCTGCAGAAGTTAACAAACTCGTAAAATTGTCAGTTGAGCGTCATTTCTAGTTGGCATACAGGAAAGGCGTGCAGAATACACGTCGTTTCAAAGAAGGTGGACAGTGCGGCACAATGTAGACTGTGATGTTAAAATTAGCTTTTGATAAAAGGAGGGCATGAGTACTTGTATAGAGTAACATTTTATCTACCATAAAAATGCTCAACTTCTGCAAACCCCACAACCAGTGGAAAGACAGTCTGGTAAGTCCAGGATTTATAAAAAATATGCATGAAACCCATGGTATTTGGAAAAAGGAAATGTTTATACAAGTGGTAGTTTTAAAGATATAATTTTGTTCTATCAGTTACACACTAACATACACACTAATTGAAAAGATGCTACAACCATGTCTGGAAAAACAGTTTGACATTTCTCAGCCACCCACGTGGGTAATTCGTAGTGGTTTGGGGTCACCATCTCTCCTGACGGAATGTGTACGCTACTGATAAGTAATCGTTTTCTTGTACTTATCCACACATTAAAAACTTAACAGTGGAAAATAGCACCTGCCATTAACACAGTGCGGACGCACGCTCAGGGTGACCCAGCAGCGCGGCAGCATCACCAGCGAGCCTGCGGGGCTGTCACAGCAACAGTGAACAACGGCGGCCACACTCTCCGCGTGCAGTGCTGAGTTTTCATGGAGCCGTTGCTGGACACTGTTTTTTTCTTAGGTGAAAAGAAACATCAGAAGTAGTTGAGGGACCAGGAAGTGGGTCCTCTAGGAATGAGCCCTCCTGAATGGCTTTTAAAATGTTTCCTTCAGAGTCATCTGCCTCATTAACACTGGTGCTTGTCTTAGAAGTCTCTCGTTGATTTTATAAACTGACATTGATTTTTCTGTTACGAATGCATGCTGTTCTGTGCCTTTGATAAGCCCATCACACATTTTTACCAAGATGCCTATAGGCATTTTCTTCTGCAGTGTTAAAATGAAATTATTTATCAAGCCCCGGTTTTTAAAAGCATTTCTGGCAAACAGGTAAAACACCAACTTCAATCTTTTTTTTTTTACCAGATACCCATTTGTTCCTTTTCTAGCTGTTTGGCCCTTTTTTCCCCTTGGTCTTTGTTCAGCAAGAGATTGATTCAGCACTTGTGTGATCACGGAATCTCCTTCACCAACCAAAGACATGTTCTTAAACTTCTTATACAACACTGTATGCTTTTCCATGGTAACCTAAGTTTGAATCACCATATTTGAGAAAACAATACACATTCATATTGTTTTTCTAATTTATTTTTTATTTAAATTTTATTTTGAAATGAAGTTATAGGAAAATTTCTAAAATCTTTGTGACTCGAAATCACTTCTTTGTGGTAATTATCTCTGTGTGCTTTTGAGCTTGTTGCATTGTGACCTGAAATGAAGCAGTTTCATCCAAGTCTTCAGTGCATCCTTCATGACAAAATGGCAATTTCCTAACTGTTAATTATCACAACATGTATAATCTGTTTCTAAATATCACTTTAAAATCTCAAGTAAGGCAGTATACAATAACCGGTAGTTGTCCTACTTATCTTAAATTTACAAGCTTATAAAATCATGTGAGAAAATGAAATGTGAATCTATAAAAGCAGCATTGTATTTTTAAATGAGGTTAAACACAAGATTATCAATTTTGAATTAATTTTTCATCTTTTCTAAGTGAAATAGTGTTACAATCACCACCACCTTCTGAGCTTGTTACAACTTTCAGACACAAAGTTTCATTTTAAGCTTGGTAAAAACAAAACAAAACAAGAGTGATAGCCAACCTTAACGTGTGTACGTTCCAGGAGATTTTGTTAACAATCATAACACAGTAATGTCATTAATAATGAAGTCCTCAATTTAGAATCTGGAACATTCTCCCATGAAGGTGGGGAAGGAGGTAATTGAGTCCAGTGAGTCTGTGTCAAGATCTTTACCTCTTGTTTGCTCCACTTGTAGTCTTTTTTCAGTAACTGGATTAATGCTTTGAGCCCAAAATGAGGTATTTTTTATTACTGTAGATTCCATGTTTAGGGGGGAAACACAATACAATAAACTTTATTTTGCATAATGGATTTCACACAAGCTGCCTCTGAAATACTTTACAGAGCAAAACTGTCCGAGCACAAAGTTTAGTAGTAACAGTAGAAGGAAAGAAAACACAAATATTAGAATTTGAGAATGTTATATTGGAAGACATTCAAAAGAAACTGAAATACATAAAGGTAACTTTCAGATACTGAAGAAATGTTGGGCTAGATTTACAAAGCAACAACTAATTATATATCTTAACTTTCGGAGCACAATAAAGTTAAAAGCAACAAACAGTCCAACAACTTTTGAATGGAAAGATAGGAAAGGATAGG